AACCATCTGGTGTCTTCTTCTGGTGTGCAGGTGTACATGTAAATAGAATATTATATACACAATAAATAAAAAAATACTTTTAAAAAAGCAGAAAGCACTCTTAACTGCCAAGCCATTTCTATCCCCCCGACACACACACACACACACTTTTTTTTTTTTTTAATACAAGGTCCTGTGTCACCCTGGCTGGCCTGGAACTCCCTTTGTAGACCAGGCTGGCCTAGAACTCAGAGATCTGCCTCTGAATGCCATTCTGGGCTTTGAACCTATGGTCTTGCATTAAGCTAACTAGTTGCTATGCTCCTAGCCATATGAAAATTTCATGATGCACTAATACTTATAAAACCCGACAACTTGGGTAAATGTTTGCAATAGGATGCCTGACTGTAAACAGAAATGTAAAACAGAACAACACAAACACCCCATAATGTCCAAAGATAAACAGTTTAATGTTATATTGAGGAACACCTAATGTTAAAATCAGACCAAAGAAGCACATGATTATATTTATTATATTTATATATTATATTTGTATGTAGTTCAGAAACCACAAACTAGCCTAGGCTTCTGTGCTTGTAATCCCACAACTTAGGGGAGGCTGAGACAAGAGACCAGCATGGGCTACACAGTGAGTCCAAGTCAATCTGGATGAGAATGAGAGCCTGTCTAAAAAACAACATCTACCACCACAAACTAAGAAAATAGAAAACAACTAAATTCAAGCAACCCAATTCTCTCCTAAGTATCTCCTTCCATAGGCTACCTTCCGATTTGTCCTCTCATAAGCTGGGGGGGGGGGGGGGGCAAAACCAGGTGTGAGCAGTTCCACACTACAAAGAGTTCAGAGTTTTCTTGTTGGGCAGGCCATCAACACAAAAAATACAAAACTGCAACCATGACAATTACATCAAGGTGTTAGAAGAGTCTGGCATGAAGTGAAAATTGTCCTAATAAAGTGCTTTGAACTGAAGAATAGGTAGTTATTAACCAAACAGCCCAAGAGGAGTACCTGGAGAGAGAGTGAGGAGCTGAGGGACTGACGGACCGGACAGAAGAGGGGAATTCAGGGGGGTGTGGGAGGCTGTAGAGGTAGAAGAATCTGACTTGGATTCATTGCTGTGCACAGTTTTTTCTCCTAAAGCAAGGGGAAAATATGTCTGTTGTTAAGTTATGGTCACCACTCTCTTTCACCACCACCACCACCACCACCACCAGGGTAAAGTTACTTCTAACTGTAGAAGCACCAAAAGGAAGTGTCACATTAGAAGACTCTTAGGGTTGTCAAGATGGCTTCATGGGTAATGGTGCTTTGCAGCTAAATCAATTCACAAAGTAGAAGGGAAGAACTGAACACTGAAAATCATGCTCTGACTGTCACATATATGCTGTGGCACGCTCATCCCCCAACCTCCCATGAAGACATGCACACACACATGCACACACAGTGTAAAAAGCAAAGCAAACGTTTGACAATTGTTATCAATAGAGTGACACTCAAGCACTGTTAGGGACTATGAAATACATGCTAAGTATGATGGTGGTTCACAGCTGTAACTGTAGCACTTGGGGGGCAAAGGCAGGAGGAACTCCAATCCAAGGCTAACACAGGCTACACAGTGAGACTGTTTCTAGAAACTGAAAAGAAACCAGCATAGGCCTTTACTCCCAGCATTCTGGAGGCTGAGGCAGGCAGATCTCAAAAAACAAAAAAAAACCAAAAACGAACAACAACAACAACAAAACAACCCACTAAAATATAGCACCAAGTACTGGGATACTGGGATAACAGGTGTGAGCCACCATGCCAGGCCAGGATGCTGAGGGGTTTGATTTTTGAGACAGGATCTCACAGATCCCAGACTGGCCTCAAACTCATAGCTAAGGATAACTGTGAACTCCTGACCTTCCAAATCTTGAAAATACAGGTGCACCCACCACACTGAGCTGGTTGCCTGAGGCTTAACGGGAAAGGATATTACCCAAGGAAGTCATAAGACACCAAAACAGCTAGTGTGGTTCCTCACAAGATCCTAGAGACAGGATTGCTGTGAGTTCCTCATTAGCCACAGCTACAAAGTGTGTCAGTATTTCCGAAAGAAGAGAGAGACAGAGAGAGGGGGAGGCAGGGGTGAGAGGGGAAGAAAGAGGGCGATAAAAGGTTGTGAGGTATGGTGTTGCAACCTGTAATCCCAGCACCCAGGTTAAAGGGCAAGAGGCCGCTCTGTGCTTTGTACAAAAAAAAAAACAAAAAAAAAAACAGGAAAGCAAGAAACGGAGGAGCAAGGGCAGGAGGAGGAGCAGCAGGAAGGGAGGAAAGAAGGTAAAGAAGATACCATTTCCAAGCAACAGACATTTGTTTCCATAGCTCCCACTTCTCTGTTATCTTATCCATGTAATCAGCAGTTTCACTAGGAAGTGATGTGTAAATCATAGTACTTCGTGACTAAGCCAAAAGTGGGCACCGGAGAAAGTGGCTTCACAAACAACTGCTTCAGTTTGGAACTATAAAACTCCACTTTAATTCTCTATTTAGAGCTTTTTTTCCCATTTGAACTTCCCATCCTCCCACCTCCACATCCTGAGTAGTGGGGTTTAAGTGTGTACTGCCACACCCAGTTAATATGGTACTGGGGACCAGAACCAGGATTTCCTGCATGCTATGCAAGCACTCTCTCAGCTAAGCCATGCCCCCAGCTTCCCAGCCTCTTTACATTTATTTTGGAATAGGCTCTCAATAAATTACCCAGAAAGACCTGGAGCGTGCCATTTTCTGATGCAGCTTCCCAAGTGTCTGGGATTACAGGCCACCAGCTGTTTAGTGCTGTTTCAAAGGGGGAAAAAAGGAACATATTTTCATCAGTATTCTTATCACAATAAAGTTCTGCTAATGGGAAGAAAATGAGCATCTGAGACACCATGAAAAGTGAGGGGAAGTCAGAATAGTACAGGGTATCTTTCCAGCTACCATCTCTTCATAAAGGTTTTGGTTGGCTCGTTTATTATTGATTGATTAATATTTCGTCAAAAATATTTCATACAAAAAGTCTGGACTAGAGGAGAGTTTGTATAATAAATTAATAATGATGATAAAACTGCTTTGTAAATAATGATGAATGTTTAAAAATACCAGAGACAAAAGTCTTCCTAAGGCTTGTGTTTTAATGCCAAATTACCTACATTAGAACATGCAAGACCAAGCCAGCCGGTGGCGGTGTACGCCTTTAATCACCGCACTTGGAAGGCAGAGGCAGGTGGATATCTGTGAGTTAGAGGCCAGCCTGGTCTACATAGTAAATTCCAGGACAGCCAGGGCCACACAGAGAAATCCTGTCTCAAAAAACTGAAAAAAAAAATAGAAAGAAAGAAAGAAAGAAAGAAAGAAAGAAAGAAAGAAAGAAAGAAAGGAAGGAAGGAAGGAAGGAAGGAAGGAAGGAAGGAAGGAGAAAGAAAGAGAAAGAAAAGAAAGAAAGAGAAAGAAAGAAGGAAAGAAAGAAAGAAAGAAAGAACGAAAGGAAGGAAGGAAGGAAGGAAGAAAGAAAGAAAGAAAGAAAGAAAGAAAGAAAGAAAGAAAGAAAGAAAGAGAAAAGAGAAAGAAAGAAAATGGAAGACCAAGTTGGTCTGGTGCATGTACTCGACTAAATTGTGGAGAAAGAACTGATCCAACAAAAATAGGTCTTCTGATTCTAAAGAACCCATCCTCAAACTCCTGGCTCTGCACACTCAGGCAGTTCACTGGGCACCGCAGACTACCAACATATTTATTCTCTAATACCGCATGTTAACCATACACTATGCCAATCATATGGTGATCTAGTCTAGGCTCTTCTGCCTAGACTGATGTTTTAAAACAACTTTTGACATTGTATTGTTTGGTTTTTTGTTTGTTTTTGGACACAGGGTATCACTGCCTGGCCTGAAACTTGTTATATAGACCAGGCTGACTTTAAACTCATAGAAATTGGCCTGCATCTGCCACTGATACTGTGTTTTAAGACAAAAGAATAATATCTACATCAAATCACAATTTTAAAAAGCCTAATGCAATTGAAGTGACCCCTAAGATCTTGGCTTTTATAACGATGTCTCCTGTCAACAATGGGGTAAACTGTAGGTTACTAGAGTTGTTGCACAAAAATAAATCCTGTATTTTATAACACTGCACAGTAAATAGTATAAACATTATGATCAAAAATATCTTCACTGAAAAATAATTTAGTTTTTCTATTTAGAAAACTACTTCAACATACAATGACATGAGTTTCAAAGTACCATAATGAAACCTATTACTTTGTATGCTAACTTAAAAAAACAGCCTTATCCAGTGATGTCCATAATTTCCACACTTCGGAGACCGAGGCAGGAGGGTCCTGAGTTCAAGGCCAGACCCTGTCTCAAAACAACTAATTCAGAAAATTGGTCTACTGGGTACTGCATTACCCTGAAGCTAAAAGTTCTAGGCTTGTTTTTTACTCTAGTTTGGGAAATAGCTGTTTCCCTTAATGCTATTGCTTTGGTATCTGTCCTACAGAAATGTTTTCATGCAGAATGGTCCAGGAACTGTCTATTATTATTAAAGATTTAACTATGGCTAATATGCATATCTACTTAAAAGTAGAAAGACCAGTAAACTTTCCAATCTTGGATCTAAACACCAATTCTTATTAATAACATCAATTTAAAATGTCTAAGGATAAGCGCATAGAGAACATACACAATATACACTGAAATGTAGAGATGTGTTTCCATGGCTGATTTTTTTTTCTGAACATTCAAGAAAATACAACACCTTACTACACACCTAAAACACTCTGAAATCAGATTGTACTCTAGACTGCACAGCTCGTGCCCGCGATTAGTGACTGACAACAGGAAAGGGACAGTGCACCTTTCCCTGCTGCAGGGCTCGGGGTGCACGATTGTTCCGGATCCTCCGAGTCCAGACCCCAAGGGTCTCCACCCGCTGCAGCCGCGCCACCTGGGTCGGCCCTGCCTGCACTCACCCGTCACGCGAATAGACTCCAGCATCGTCCCACCGAGGCCACAGGAGAGGCCGGCGGACCGGGTCGGCGAAGACTCCTGGAAGGTAGATCGGAACCAGGCGGGGTAGGGTGGGCAGCACAAACCGGAGGAGGACGACTTCTGACCCAGCGGCTGGAGGGTGCACTGGCTGTTCCACCTGGCCTGCTCGCTGAGAACCCGCCACCGTGACGTCGCAGCAAGCACGTTGCTAGGAGACACTGCTGCCCTCTGGGCGCACTCCGCGCCACCAAACCGGCTTGCCGCTGGAGGCGCTGGTGCGACTGACACCCTGCTCGCAGGGAGAGAAGCGAACTACAATTCCCAGTGTGCCTAGCGCTGACCCGTGCAGAGAACTGGTCCGCAGCCACTTGGGTGTCTCAGAGGGATAATCGGGTTTTAATTTGACGGGGGTGAGGGGTGGGGGGGGGGGGGGGTTGGGTAGAAATCTGTATGAGGCTCAAAAGGCATTAATTTCGTGATGGAAGCGCGAAATAGAAATGGTGTGATGATTCTTAGTTTTAGCAGAGTAGTGCTAAACCCCGACCTTTCAGCTAATTTACATGTTATCAACACGTAAGACAGATTGAACAGGTTTGTAAAAAAGTAGATGGCCAGGTATGGTGCCACACGCCTGTGAACCCAACACTTCGGAGGTGAAGCAAAGAGGATAAGGGGTAAAGGTCATCCTTGCTACGCGGTGAGTTTTGAGACCACCCAGGAGTATACAAGCCTCTGTCTCAGAAAAAAAGAATAAAATAAATACCCCCCCCCCCCCCCAATTAAAAAGGAGGTCTGGATAGATGGCTCAGCGGTTGAAAGCTTTCCAGGGCTTGTTTCCCAGCACCCTCGTGGCAGCTCAAAAGTACCTTTAACTCCACTTCCAGGGTATCCCTCCCTCTCTCGTTCTCCCCAGGCACCTGGGCCCACATGGTAGGCAAACACTTGTGACACAAACATATACACAGATTTTTAAAAATAAATTGAAAAAGGAAACAGACTGGGGATATAGCTCAGTGGGCGGAGTGCTTGCCTAGCTTTCCCAGAGCCCTGAGTTTAATCCCCAGTACTACACAAAGCTGGCCTGGCGGCGCACACCTCTAATTCCAGCACTCAGGAGCTGGGAGCACGTGGGTCAAGATGTTCAAAATCTTCGAGCTTGAAGTCACCCTGGGCTACAAATGTTTAATTTATGTTCATATATATGTATATGTATGTATCAGAAACATATAACTAAAAATATATATGTATATATATATCGGGTTGCATAAAGGGGGTTTGACAGGAAAAAGTTAATAATAATTAAATCATAAACTTATTTTAAATCAATTATTTGTATACATAGAATTTTACCATTTTTAAAATATGAAAGCCAATTTTCACACTCAGATGTATATGCTTACTTTTGCATAAAGAATCTCAGCTGAGGGGAGGAGCATGGGAGAAGAGGGAGGAAGGGTGGAATTGGGAGGTGAGAAGGGAGGGGCTACAGCTGGGATACAAAGTGAATAAACTGTAATTACTAAAAAATAAATTTAAAAAATTTAAAAAGTGATTATACATATTTATCTGTACAAGAATAAAATCTTACTGTAAACATGTCAAAAATTATAAAATAAATTATAAAATAAAATAAATAAAATTGATACTCAAACTTAAAAAAAAGCATCTAGCTGAATATTTAATACTGAAGGATAACCCTGTTTTACATTTGTGTGTGTGTGTGAGAGAGAGAGAGAGAGAGAGAATTCTTGTGTGCCATGACACAGATGTCAGCTTGCAGCAGTCAGTTCTCTCCTTCCACCAAATGGGTTCTGGGAATCGAGCTCAGGCTTGGTGGTAGTGTCTTTACCTGCTGAGCCATCTCACCAACCCGTATCTTCCACATTTTTAGAGGTGATTTTGTAATTGGCAATGCTGAGAATACCACATTACTTAAGTACATGGTATAAAATCACCAAAGTATGCTTAGGTGTTTTTCAGAAATCTTGTCATAGTCCCAAGACAAAGTTCATTTCAATTAAAAAAAAAAAAATAAAACCCAAATCAGCACATTTGGCAGAGATTGTGGTGGTAGTAACAGCAGGTTTCATGTAGCCCAGGGTGAACTAGTAGTCACTACACACCCGAGGATAACTTTGAACTCCTGACCCTCCTCTCTCCTCAGCCATTCAAGTGCTGGGGTTATGAGATTGTACTACCACACGTGGCTAAAACGGTTGTTCTTAAATATTGTTTTAACATTTTTAGTGTGGTCTTTTAAAAAATTATTTGTGTATAAGAGTGTTTGCCTTCATGTATACCGTGTATACCATAGAGGCCAGAAGAGGGTATCGGATTTCCTGAAAACGGCTTTATGGATAGTTGTGAGTCACTTTTTGGGTGCTGGGAACTGAACCCAGGTTGTCTGCAAGAGCAGCAAGTGCTCTTAACTACTGAGCCATCTCTTTAGCCTTTCAAACAGTAACATTTAAAAGAAAACACTCTAAAGCAACACGATCCAAAGATACACTAGGTACTTACATGCTGGGGGTTGACGGTGAAACAATATTAAAAGCCTTTGTTTCCATAATTAAACCATTACATCATGTTTTCTATAAGAGCAGAAAACCTTATGTATACAATTAAGATCATGGCCACTCTTAACATCAGATCCTCTGGAATCCGGCTGAGGTGTCCCAGGCAGCATTCATTAGTGCTGGTGGCTGGCAGCACACACAATCTAAAATACTCGTTTTGTGCTCAGAGCTAAGGCTGCAGTGACGTCATTTGATGCAATGCTGGTGCTCCCAGAAATCCTCTGGATTCAATACATTTGATTTGGAATCAGTATTTGATCATTACATGTCCAGGAATGTTTTACTGCTGACAAAAATTTTCAACCCCCACATTCAGTTACATGACCCTCTCTGGAGTCTCAGCCCTCAGTTTCTGAAGCTGAGTCCTAGATGATGCTCGTATGCTCACCCTGACTCACATCTACTTTCAAACCCAATGGCCAGAGTAATCCTGCTGAAGCGAGATCACTACCACTCTGCTCACTACCCCCGTGAAGTCCTTTATGACCTAGTTCTCTTTTTGATGTCATCTCCTACTATGCTCTCAGTCCCCTCCCAGAGACCCCCTGACATCTTGCTGCTCAGTGGCGATACACACTGTTTCATCACAAAGCCTTTGTCATTTGTGACTCTTCCTGCTTGGAATGCTTATCCTCCAGATACCTTCCTCACTTCATTCAGGTCTTGATCCAAATTCGCTTTTCTATATAGCTTTTCTAGCCACGCTACCTAAAATTCCTCTTCATATTCCATATATCCTTTCTCAGTTTTATTTCCTTTTAGCACCTACTTAGCATCATTTGTTCTATGGTTTCCTGGATTTCTTCCCTATTGTCTGTACACATGCATGGGACATAACAATGTTTTTGTCTCTAGGGCTATAGTTATTATACATAGTGCCTCACAAATAAGCACACTGATCTTCTTTGTCCATTTCTGCACTCTCTGCATCAAGAATGGTACCAAGGAAGTGGGGAACTGGAGAGATGGCTCAGCAGTTAAGAGTACTTGTTGCTCTTGTAGAGAACCTGGGGTTCAGTTCCCAGCGCCCACATGTAGCTCAACAGCACCTGTAACTCTGGGGTGGGGAGATCCAATTCTGGTTTCTTAGGCACAGCATGCATGTGGTGCACAAGCATATACACAGGCAAACAAACAAACAAAAAACCTTACACATGACATAAAAATGAAAAAACATTAAAAAAAAAAAAAAAAGAGTGCCTGCTACACAGTAGGCACTCAACACGTTTGTGAATCGGTGAAGAGTAGAAAGTGTTTGGATTTTCAATGTTACCTCAAAGAAACAATGATGTCAAATAGATCTTGAGATAAGTTTGTGTTTCGGTTCAAGCGTTTGCTAAGGGAATTTAGCTGCAGTCACTCTTGCAACACATGCATGTGCATGCTGGAACTTGCTTCTCTATGAGCGCCTTACTCCTGTGTCTAAAATTCCTGTAGCTTCAGGGATTTTTCTCAAAAAGGAAAACTTGTCAACAGTAGACAGTACTAAACCTACTGTCCAGCCTGTTGCCCTTTTATGGTATATTCAAACATTATTATTTGAAAAAGAAAACAAGGAATGTCCTAATGGAGGTTTGTCTGAACACAGTCCAAGAAGGGAGTTCTATGAGAACTCTGCGTGCCTGTGAGAAAACTGTGTCTGGTGACCTTAGTTTCTTTAAAACACAGAATTGCTCTTGGAATGTGCTTTCCTGCTCCTCGCAGGTATAGTGGATGGGAGTGAGTTTACCTCAGCTGTGGGTATCCATGTGCCTCTATGGAAAGGCATAATGTTTTTGGCACATGTGGCTTGTCCTTGTGATTGAGCACCTAACTCATGTGATGCATCTTAACCCTCAAAATATAAATTGTCTGATTCACTGAATAAAGTTGGCTCTTGCATGAGATCCTGCTCTCCCAGGTTCACACCGCTGACGACAGTGATAGTGAAGAGTTTAAGTTAGCCTGGGTGACTCCATTTTGAAATGAAGATCTTGACTGGGAACTGAACTCAGGTACCAGGAAATATCACAGAATGTACACCTGGCAGAAAACAGTTAACTCTCCTAGAAACAGCCTCAAGGAAATATAATAGAATAAATGCTTCATAGAAAATAGAAACAAAAAAAAAAAAATAGAGACAAACTCCCTGGCAATAATCAATGGGAATTGGTTGGAAATCGGGTGGGAAAATTCTCCCCAATGTTTCAGATGTGGTTTAGAAAAATAGCCATTGTGATTATATACCTCAGCCATTGTGATTGTGTGCCTCAGAAAAGGTCACCCCGCCCTGCTAAACTTCACCCAATTCTGTAACGCTAAGGCTTGTGCCCCCCTGCTTGCTGCCATGGAAACCCCCTGCTCACAGACTTTCCCTTTAAAAATCCTGTTCACTCAGAGCTGGAGGTCCCACTTCTCTACTGCTGCGTCAGTGAGACTTGGGTCCCGAGTTTGATCGCTCTCGTAATAAATTGCAATTTATTGCATCGAGTCGTCTCCTGGTGGTTT